CCCTGCCGGCTCGACCCCACGATAGCCTCCGAAGGCTGACTTTGCGGCACCATCATCGGACGATGTCGACGAGTTGGGTCGCTCTCGCGGTAGCCAGATGACCTCTCTTTCTAGGAGCATCGGCCATGGCCGCAGGGAGCGCGGGGGAGGGCGCTGGAAGCAACACGGAGCTCCGTTGGAGACGTTTTCAAGATTAGCGTGTCAGAGTGAAATGGCACTAGCCTGCACTCCACAAGTGCTCCAAGTCGCAAGTGCCCCTAAGTGCGCTGTGAGCTCAGCTCGAATAAGAGGAATTTTCGGAACCGCAAAATACAACGCCCGGACATCTCAGGAGTAGATGCTGGCGCTGCTCTGCATCGCGGAGTCCGAGCCCTGCCCGCCGAGGCGGATGTCCTTGACCGCCTCCGCCAGCGTGCTCTTCCGGTGCTGCACAAAGTGTTCCTGCAGCTGCGCCATCGTCACGCGCGACCCGCCCGCCTTGGCGCGCACGTTTGCGACGAACCGGTCGGTGTCGGCGGCCGTCGCCGAATGGTAGAAGCGGGAGAAGCACTTTGCGAGCTGCTCGTCCACCGCAAACGTCAGCTCCACCTAGCGATTACGTCGTGGCAACTGAGCCCGCAGAGGAGGGCGCACACAGGGCTGGTCTCGCAGGCCCCCGCTCCGCCTGCACGTCGCACCGGCCCTGCCGGATCAGCGCGGGGTCGAGGCGGTCCTTGTGGTTTGTGGTGAGGAAAATGATCGTTCCGCTCGGGTCGGACACGCCGTCGAGCGCGTTGAGCAGGCCGGAGAAGGTGACGTTGTTGGCCGCCTCGCCGCGCTCGCGGTGGTGGCCGAATAACGCGTCGACGTCCTCAAAGGCAATCAGCGCCTTGGCCGGCGCCGTGGCCATCGCAGTACGCAGGCCGGTGTCCTGCAGGCCGCGGTCGGCGAGGGAGACCATGCAGACCGAGCAGTCGAACTCGGAGGCGACCGCGCGGATGAGGGACGACTTGCCGCAGCCGGGAGGGCCGTACAGGAGGAAGGTGCGCTTGTACGGGATGCCGTGCTCCAGATACCTGCGGGCGGTGGGGAGGGTGGGTGAGAGAGACGCAGGCGGCGGGAGGCGGTCTCTGAGAGGCGGTCGGGTCGGGAGGAGGCGCGAGCACCAGCGGCGCGTCTCTGCGTCGAGGAACTCGCGCACCTCCTCGACCACCTTGTCGCACGAGGCGGGCAGGATGACGCTCTCGAGCGGGCGCTTGATGAGCATCCGGTCGCGGTGCCAGCTGTTGACTTTGGCGTTGAAGGAGAGGAGGGCGATCTTGCCCGGGCGGGCGGTGTTGTACTCGGCAAGGGCCGCGTCGCAGAGCTTCTGCATCGCCGCGACGACCGCAGCACCGGACTCCGGGTGCGACAGCACCAGCGTGGTGTAGATGCCCTCGCGCGGCCGAGGCGGGCCGAGGCCCTGCTTGGTGAGCAGGAAGGTGTACGTGATCTCTCGCTCGGCTACGTACGTGATCTCTGTCGAGCCGTAGCCGAGCGAGAGGGAGGTCGTCATGGAGTTGCGCCCGCCGCTTCCGCCGCGTGCGTCCTCCACCTCGTTTGCCACCACCGCTCCGGCGAGCCCTTTCATCATCGCCATCACGGCTGAGCCAGGGCTCCGCGCTGATGTGGTTGCCCCAGCGGCGAGACTTGTCGGCGTCGCGTGCTCCACCGCATACTCGCATAGGGCAGCGTGCAGCGTGCTGTGTGCGTGGATCTGCGGACGCGGCGGGGGAGTGAGTGGACGTGTGCGTGCGGCGGCCGCCGCGTCTGGCAGTGCTTACGCTTGCGACCTCCACTTGTGTGCCGGCGAGGCTGCTGGTTCCTCCGAAAGCATTCGTCATTCGAGGAAGAGGCTCCCGCGAAGCATCCTCGCCTTGCATTTGCACAAGCAGCTAGCGCAACAAGAAGCAGCCAGCTAGCGCAACAAGAAGCAGCCAGCTAGCGCAACAATAGAAGCAGCTGTGGACCGACAGCTTCTCTGGACGCGGGCAGCCAGGAAAGAAGAATTCCCGCCGACAGCCAGGAAGAAGAATCGTGTTGTGCGAAGAAGAATTCAGACCCCAATACCCAGGTTGAACTAGGACGGCTAGCACCACACTCCTCTCCTTAAAATCCCTGTATGGTGGCGGCGTGCCGTCCTCCCATCCCTCCCTTGGTCCCTGCGGATTTCTTTCTTTCTTTTAGGTTGAACTAGGAGAGCGCAACCAGTAGGAGGCCCGCGCCTGCCCCCGTGCCGCCGGGTGCAACTTTGTCCTATACGAGAGGGGCATCCCTGGGACCCTGTCGTGTGGGTGAACCCTGCCCAGCGGCCCCCCTCCATGTCGCGATGCGCTCTCCCCACTCCCGTTCCCCTGTGTCCCTGATCGTCTCCTTCCCAAATCCTGCTCGTGCAGGTGGGGACCCTGTTCTTCTCCCACCCCTTGTTTGGTGTGTCGGTTTTATTTATTTATTTATTAGCACACAGGTTCGACACAGCTCACAGGTACGCCGCAGTACCAAAAGAGGCCCCGTCGCACGAAGAAGAATTCTTTTCGCTATGCCAAAAAACAATTCGGAGAGGGCGTCTTCTGCCCTGCGTCGTCTGGCGACGGGTCCTCCATAGTCGGTCGAGTTCGCCGCCCTCCTCGTGCCTCTTCCCAACGTTCCCTCGGCGGCCGATGCCGTCTGCTCCGGCTCCCCAGTCCCCGGGTCTGCCCTGCTCTCGTCTGCGCTAGTCTCTGCTTCGTCCTCACCGGCGTCTCTCCTCTTCCTTCTCCCCTTCTTGTATGCTTTGCACATCGCGTCGATTCCTTTTGCGTGAGCACCACCCTGAAGCCCCCCAGCTACTGAACCGCTCCCTAAGGCGAAGGTCCGAACCAGGGGTCCGAAGGAGCATCATCAGTCTCGCCCACTTCGCTCGCTGCCCACCGTCTCCGCTCCCTCCCGCTTGAGCCGCCGTCGCGGCCCTCGTTCGTCCCACTGGCTGTTGGCCCGTCCCTGCGTTGCCTGCGTTATCCCTCCTCTGCGACTCCCTCAAGGCCGGCCGAGCCTCTTTCCACCCAGTGAAGAGCTTCCTCAGCCACTCGATGTGTTCCTCTCTCTTCATTATGCGCGCCGTAGCCTCATCATTGAGCTGGATCCACCTCTGCACCGCGCCCGTCGCCGCCTAAAGCCACGACTTGCATGTTTGCAAGTGTTTGACATCAAGAGTGTGAAAGTACTACTAATTCTACGTGGCTGGGTTCACAGCGATTGTAGGAAAACGAAGGGAACACTTGACGGTCGCGGCCTTCCGACTCGCGCCTCCGCCTCACTGGCACTATTGTAGCCCTGGCCGGTGCGCGTGCAGAGTTGAAGTTCCGGAGTAAAAATTCGAACGCGTTCTCTCGCGGTGACCAAAAAATGTCCACCTCAGAGGCACCTCCGGAGGCAGGCCGCTGCACGCCGGCGACACAGCTCCAGCTGTCGAACAGACCCGCAGCTCCTCTCAGAGCGGGAACTGTGACGAAAGTTGACTGAGGCGGTTGTCAGGAATCATCATACGGATCACATGGTGGCTCTCTCATGACGGGAGACCGCCCGACCACTCCTGGGTGGCACTGCCACCGGTGTCGCTCGACGTCCTGTCGACAGCGTGCCGACAGCGACACAGACCATGTGGGACGCGTCGAGTATCGACCTCTACTGCTTACCCAGCCTTCGAGTGTACCCTGGCTATGGTCCCACACCTACTGGTGTCCATCTCAGAGACCGCAGGAGGTCATGAGGGTCGATGGGAGTGCCAACCCCACAATGCCTAAAAACCCAGCCCAGTAAATCTAAAAGAAGAGAGCCCGTGAATAAGAGAACATCGTACTGAAAAAAATGTTCTCGAAGTCTGTACAATACTGGGTTTTAGATTTAGTGCGACGCAAATTTTTTGAAGTGTCAAAATCGCTGTTTCGTGTTTGATCAACCTCATGTTTGGCCACCCGCAGCATCACTGTCCCTCACGAGATCGAGAAGCTCTTCGTCGTCCGCATCGTAGACGGGCAGCCACGCGAGGAAGCGCTGCGGCTCGCGCAGCAGCCTCCGGTGCGCGAGCAGCACATCCTGCGCCTCCTCGCCCCGCGCCTCTTCCGGCGCCTCTGCCGCCGTCCCCTCCCGCGAGGGGCGCAGCCACGCGCTCTCGCGGCCGGCGGCCACGCCCACCCACTCGAGGCACCCCTCGGCGTCGATGGCTGCTGCGCACGGCTCCACATCGGCGCCTACCGTCACGCTCGCCCAGCGTCAGTCGGGCGGCATCCGCTCACACTCAGCCGGGTTAGCGCGAGGCACACCCGGAGGCAGGGGCGGCAGCAGCCGGCTCGGCGCGGCCGCCTCCGACGGCAGCTCGCGCGGCACCAGCGCCGCCCCGCTCGCGACGCGGTACCGCCGGTCGGACAGCGGCTCGAACCGCACGACGCCGTCGGTGCCGCCCTGCGGCCGCTGCGGCAGCCACGGCCCGGCCGGGAGCAGCCTCACGGCTCCCCCCTCCTCGCGCCCCTCCTCCTCGCCGCTCGGAGCGCAGCAGAGCGCGCCCGACGGCACGCTCAGCCAGCCCGGGTTGAGGGCGAGCAGCCGCAGCGGCGGCGCGCGGAGGTAGTGCGCGAACGCCTCCAACTCCCCCGCGTCGAGCTCGGGCCGAAGCACGTTGAGCATGAGGATGTCGCGGTCGCACCTGCAGGAGAGGGATCCGGGAAAGGTCAGGGAAGGGGCAGGCGGCCGCTCCGAGAGAAGAGCCGTATCGTTGTCGCACTCGCCGCCGTTGCGCGTGGAGTGCGTCTGCGTGGTGTCCATCAGCAGGAGCTGGCCCTCGCGCCACCTCCGCCGCTCGCCGCCCACCTCGATCCAGCACTCCTCCCCGGCCGGCACGCGCAGCCCGAGGTGGCACGTCAGCCCGAGCAGGTTGCCGTCGCAGTGCGGAGCGATGCCCGAGCCTGGAGGCTGGCGCGCGAAGCCGCACGCCACATTCTGCAGCGGGTTGAGCCGCAGCCCGTGGGACGCCTCGAGCCGCCGAAGCAGCGCGACGGTCTGCGGGTAGCGGGCCACCGCCTCCGGCAACCACGCGCCGTCCTTCCAGAGGTGGAAGATCCGCCACTCTGCGGCTATGGCCTCGTAGTCCGCGCCGCCCCAAGACGCCGCATCCTCCGCCTGCTGCTCCTGCACCGAGAGCAGCTCCGCGCGGATGGCTGGAGCTGCGGCCTCGAGCGCGCCAGCCCACGGCAGGCCGCTGGGGTCATGCCAGGCGGGCGAGCCGGAAAAGCCGGCCGCGTCTCGCAGGCGGCGCACGGTGGCCTCGAAATCGGCCGAGGCCGAGTCGAGATCGTCCAGCGCGCCCTGCGCGGCCGATGCCTCGATGAGCCTGGTGACGCGCGGCGGAGGCTCGAAGCCGGAAAAGAGGAGCGCGCGGCGAAGGGCCGCGGCGGCAGGCGTCGGCGAAGCCGGTGCCGCGAGCTTGTGTGCGGCTGCGGCCGAGGCAACGAGCAGCATCCCGTGGCGCACGATCAGAGGCCTTCGGCTCTAGTCCTGGAGCAGCTCGGGCAGGCTGGAAAAGAATTTTGAAAGCAGATCCCTGAAAGAATTCATCGCACTCGTCCCGGTTGTGAGGCTAATGACCGCACTGCAAGTGCTCCGAGTGCTCTGCCTCAAAGAGCCGCAAAACGGCGCTTCTCACCCCTCCCCCTCTCCCGCCTCGTAGACGACACACACCGGCCCGCCCCCCGCGGGTCCCTGATGCTCCGCGCCACCCGACACGTACAGGTTGGTACAGCCGGTGAGCCCCGCGAGCAGGCCGCCGACCGCCGCCCGGGCGTGCCTCGTCGCGTGCAGGTCCGAGTCGGAGCACATCGTCGTCCGCTCGCCTCGCACCGCGGCGGCGGGGTCCGCCTTGGCGAGGACGGCGCGCACGCGCGCCTGCGAGGCGGGAGTCAGCTGCCCGTTGTCGAGAGACAGTCCCGCCTCGGCGAGCATGCGGCAGACCGCCGGGCTGTCGAGCGCGTCCCGCATCACGCAGTGAGCGGCGCGGAGAGGGGAGGCGCTGCCGGCCGCGTTGCCGAGCACAAAGACCTCCGAGTGCCGAAGCTCGATCCCGGCGCTTGCGCTGGCGACGCTGCTGCTGAAGCCGCTCAGGCCTTCCGGCTCGCAGAGCCGCTCGACGGCGGCGTCGAGGTCGCCGCGCGACAGCTCGCCCGTTGCTAGCGCCACGCCAAGAGCCGATGCGCCCCTGCTCAGGCCCATCGACGTGTAGCCATCGTGCGTCGCGCACGGCAGCGCGGCGGCGGCGACACGCTTCGGAGTGAGCAGCGGGCACTTGATCTGCGCAAAGCACACGTCCGCCGGCGACAGGTGCGCGTCCCTGCACGCGGAGAGCATGGCTTCATGCGTCGCCTCAACCTGAGCGCGCCGGCCGATCTCGTGTGCGCCCAAGTCTCGCGTGCGCGCCACGCCAAGGCTGAGCGCCGTTGGTGGGCCGGCCACGCTAGGCGTGTCCTGCGCCACATCGGCAAACACGAGAATGTGAGGCGTCAGCACGCCCTCCGTGCCGCCCGACATGATGATTGACGTGTCTTCGAGTCGGCCTGCCGATCGGAGGGCCTGCTCGACCACGAGCGAAGCATAGCCGCGTGTGAAGTCATTCACGCATCCGTTGCCTTCGGTCTTGCCGAGGACACAGCGCGGGCGGGCGCGCTCGTTGGATGCGAGCCAGGCTGTCAGCGCGTGCGTGTCTCCCGGATGCGAGGTAGCAAGGCGGACGACCGTGGCGCTGCGAAGCGCGAGAGTCGCCTGCCGCATGTGTGTGGGGTTTGACCGGCAGCAGACGGAAGACGGTACAGATGTCTATCTGAACCATGAAGTTACTTCAGGAAGTAAGTATTCACAGCAAAGAGCACGGGCTCGCACCCCCCAACCGCTTACTAGGAACCCCTCGCCTTATTGTTTGCCCCCCCCAGGCCACACACAGACCTCTAGACCGGTCACTAGGGCCGACAATTAGGGTTCAAATACGCCCGGGAAACAGCCCAAACACAGTTCTTCATAGTTACTTCTGCGGCATTCTCGCGCACATGTCGGCCGAGCGCGCGCCCCCTGCTGCCGGCAAACGGTCTCCTGAGAGCCCTCCTACACCCTTGCCACCCCCCCAGCCCAAGCCATCATCAGATGCTCCGCTTGGCCCCACCCCCCCGGGTCCGCCGCGGCCGCCGCGGCCGCCGCTGGCGCCGCCGCCGGAGGCGCGGCGTCGCGGCGAGCTTCGGACGGCCTTCTTCTGGATGCCGAAGCGGAGGCCTTGCACTCAGGGAGCACCTGAGCAGTGCATGGCATAGCACTTAGCAGCGGCGGACGGTGCTGGGCATTGGGGTTACAGAATGCGTGGTCGGGCGCGTCGTTCACAGCAGGACACGCAGTCCAGCCCGAGAAGTGCGTTTCTTTTTTCGCGTTTCCGCGCGTGCAGGCGCCCCCGACTGTACTGAGCGCACCCCCTACCGCCCCCTGCCAGGCCCAAGCACGCCGCAGGCTCCGGTGAGGCCGCCTGGGGAGCGCAGGAGGTCTCCCCGCCGCCGCGACCAAGTGCTCGACACGCCCGGCAAACACAAGTCCAAGGCAAGCCCCACACAAGAAAGAACAGGGAGTCCTCCTACCGACTCCGACGATGGCCACTACTCCTCAGAGGAGTATTAGGGATGAATTCTTTTTCCTTCGCGGCAACGCGATGGCGGCAAGGCCTCTCTGCGCGCCCGCCCTCGCCACGCCGAAGACCAACCGACGTCGGACCGCGGTGAGACCGCGCCGCCCCCCGCGCCCGCCCGCGCCCGCAGCGTGAACACATACGCGCGTCCCTCATCGCACGGAAACATACGCGCCAGCCGCGCAGCAGCCTCACATGCAGCGCCGACCGCATGCTCGCGCCCTGGGCCGCCGACGACCCGGTCGGGCGGGCTGCGCGGCCGCCGTACACCATCAGGCAGGCGCGCGACCACCCGCAGCACGCCGCAGCCCACCGCGCAGCCCTGCCAGCCAAAGCTGCGCCTCAAAGCTGCACAAACAGGCGCACAACAGAGTACAGCACACAGCACACACCGGCGGCGCGCGCGCAGCACACGCAGACGCACGCGCGATTCCAACACGCACACGCGCATAGCACGCGCGCATCGCACGCCAGCGCAGCGCCGCACACAGAGCACACTTGCCCACATCAGCAGCAGCCAGCCTGGCACAATCCTCATCTCACACACGCGCGCGCACACTCCC